ATATTTCGAAAGTTGCTTATGAAAAGGAGGATGAGTTTTAGAGTTCTCATGAGTATCTAGTTCCGTAATCACTTGTTCATTCAAACTAGTAGATACTACATAATCTGGAACGAATTTCAACAGACATTCTAAAGTTTATGTTTGAACTACGACTGCGGTACCGTAGTATTCATACGTAGATGTAAAATTTGATTAGCTGTAATAGCTATTTCTAGTTTCATATGATTGTATACACAGGCTAGTCGAGCGAGTTGTTAGACAATACCCATGTCAATGTACGCCTAAAAGCGAATACAATCCATTATCGGAAGAGGCGGGGAGGGTAGAATGCGATAAAATTTTTCAATCAACCAACCACCGAAAAATATTTACAGTGTAACCCGAGGCAGCAGGGAGGACAATATTGTGAAGCGATACGCGAGAGGTGCCTGCGGCAGTCGGCGGCACGGGCCTTCCGCCTCTTTGTGCGGCAACTGTCGAAATAATATTGAACTCTTAGTGAAATACGAGTGCCCGCAGTGGGACGCCTCCTGCAAAACCATTTTTCCGTCTCGCTGAACCAAAGCAGTATTTAGTTTAGTTGCTATATATTTTGATTTCAGATCAATCTATTGCTATATTATAAATTGAATTGCATTTGACTTTGAATCTTTTTTATTGGCTCTGATAATTTATTAGGTTAAATTTATATTGTAAACGGTTATGAACAATTTTATTCAAACCGATATAGGTTGCGCAGATTTTATCCGGTTCCAGATAATCCCTTTCGTGTTTATTGCAGCACTCAATTTGCATACCCTTAGTATTACCATAATAATATCTTCTAACGACAAACTTTGTAATAAAGGCTATCGCATAGGGGTTCTCCGTTAGATGAAGATTGGAAATACGCTATGTCCGTGCCAATGCGGGTTCGTTCTACTAATGGAAAATGTTTTATCAGTGCCGGGTTTGTGCGCGTGAGCAGGATTATTTAAACGCGGGTCCCCGCGGTCTAGCTTGATCGTTAAATTGGCCGCTCATGTGCTATCGCCACCATTCATTCTGCTGATAAACTGTGCAATGCCCGCGGCACCCGCTACTCTATGCCAGCCACTGCATAATAAGATTAGCTATCTAGTCGCTATCTCGTTTGTTACTTAAATACTTACCTATCCATAAAAAGTTAAATGTTATTACTAATACACGAACACAAACTTTTAAATGCGACTATAAAGCTTAATTGTAAACTTTATGCTAACAAATCAGTCTTGTTTACTACTCGTATTTTTACTTTAATATTATAAGTTGTACAAATATTATAAAGAAAAAAGTTTTCTTCGTTTGTTACACCGCCCGATTACGTGTTTTACATTTTAATTAAACTCAATGGATAAATTGGTTTTCTAGATCCAGATTTGCTTATTTAATGCAAATAGTAGCCCGCTTCCGTTGCATGACATATTTGAAGGAAAATTATGTTCGCTAAATATACGCGAGTGGGCGCGCGTACTTGCCCCAAACACGAGCCGCATGCCCATTCATGAATCAACTTCAACGTTACCTCACAGCGAAACGAACAAAACAAACGTCGTGCTATGTGAGTTATTAATAAGAGTGGCGAGTTCAATGAATTCACCCTGGCTTGCGTATTTAAATCGTGGCATCATTCGGTGCACTGCACAAAATGCTGATTTATTAGCACAGATTACCTCTATTCTCGGTTGAACGAGATTAATACTGGCCGTTGCGAAAATTAATACCAAACATTCCATAACAAAATTAAAAGCACAAATTCTAAAACGATTGTAAACTAAATCGACTGTCATAGATTACCTATTTTATCACTGTAACATGTAATTAATGCAACAGTAGATTAATTAAACGAAGGAGGAAGCCCATTTAGAGGCCCATTTTGATGAATGTTTTATATTTAATTATTTGGGCGTGATCAGTGTCGAGTGAGGCAGCCATTTAAGTGGACAGATTCCAGGCGTGGCCGCGGCGTCGGCTAACGTACGAGAGCCACTCGTTTAAATCCGTTTATGTTTACTCGAAATCCTGAGACGATCTCTATTTGGAAATATCTCTTTTAACTTTCTGTACCTATGTAAAAAGAGACTGAATCAAATTATCGCTCACGGGCCGAGGTGATAATTTTATTCCGTTCCTTTGTCCTGAACCGTTTATCGAGGGTGGAAATTGGCATAGCGAGGAAACGCTATTGTTACACATTTCGTTTTAAATTGGGGGGATTTCTTGAATTTACACCCATGACTTGCAGCGAGGGACCGTCTTCAAAGCCGGGGTTACAAGTTTCTATCGATTTATCCGACTAAAATGTTTATTCAGTTGTATCAAACTTTCTTTGGCGCTTTGTTTCTTTTCTCTTTTGCCATTTAAATGTATAAGTCAATACCTTTATTAACCTCGTATAGGTACTCCATTGTGCAGCATGTAAGAAATTACGTATATTCATTTGTGTTCAATATGAATTATACCTACAAAACAATCGCGTCGTGGCTCGGTTCGCTTTTCTCGATTGTCTCTTTGTTATATGCGAACAACGAAGCAATTAATTCTTCGAAATTCGAATATAAACTTTTTAGTCGATAGCTATATTATTTAAACGTTATGTGTATTAAATAAAACCGATAAGATCGCAGAACCGCTTCGACCCCTGCTTCGAATGTGAGGGGCGTTGTAAGGTATTGTCTTGTAAGGAAATAAAAAATAAGTACCGTTTAACGCTTTTTTTTTTAATTTAAACAGAATAGTTAATTAAACTTAACAATTCGTATAAAGCATACTCTTTCAATATTAATACGGATGTGTACATTGGATAATATAAAATAAGGACTGAATATTCAGAAATATTACGTCAATGTCGAAAACAGCGAATTTTATTCTAAGGCTGTGCTAATATTTGCTTAACAAAAATCGCTATTGAGTCAACTAAATTTTGTTTTCAACAATGTTATTTATTTCAATCAATTTCATAAGAAAGAAAATTTACTACAATCAAGTTTCAACTTACTGTCAACTGATTGAGGCTTACAATGGATGAAACAAATTTGATATTTGTACTTAAATATATACTTTTACGAAGGTACTACCTACTTAAGAAAACTAAATGAAATATCCTGAAAGTGTCGGAAGTCATCAATAAAACATTTATTTGAATTGGAATAAAGTCATTTCATTACATAAAGTTAAGGTTACTTAGACTGGTAGAGAATGCCGCTGGTATGAAGTTTTATTACGCGCAATAAAGAATAAATAAATAAAGTTGTAAAATTATCCAGTAGCATCGTTCAGCAACGGTATCAAACAGGAATGCTACTCATTTACAGGATAGGTAATGATAAGTGTAGTCGAGTCGCGCTGAATCTATTAAAACAAACAAAACCAACTCGCTCGCAGCTCTCCCGTTACATTTTAAATTAGCGTTCAAGTTCTACTAGTATAATAACTGGACCTATTCGAATAAACCAAGAAGGTCCATTTTTGTCGTCTATTACCGTCAATAATAACAAAAAATTGTCTTGTAAAATTTTAAAATTAATATCTACATATTTCAATCTCCATAGATTATGTTGTACCTACGCGAATTGAATCTATAAAAATATGGTAAAATTTCATTGAAATACTAACAAAGAAACAAAGTTTTATTTTCTAAATTTATCCAGAAACGAATAATCACTGTTTACAAAAAAAAGGACGGGAGTTTTTGCTATTTGTGATAGTTTTAACCTGACACTTGACACCCCTACCCCTGGGTAAAATTAAGAAATAGGACCAATATTTTTTGTTAACTTTTACAATATTAGTTCAATTTTTTATCAAGAAATTTAAATGGTATAAACTAAAACCAACATACTATGTTAAATTTTTATAAGGCTTACCATTTTTTATCAAAACAAATATTGTTATGTATGGAAACAGTGTAATACAAAACGATAGAAAATACGCTTGTTTAGGTAAGTGATTTAACGATGAGACTTATAGAATAGGGCTGAATGATTCAACGTAATTTATAGGTAAAATAATCGATCAACTTGTAAACAACGAGATTACAAATTCCGTAAGACTTCAGCGACGAAATTTCAGTAATGCACTTCCTCTTTAATTTGTCAAAACCAATATCGAACCAATTATTTTTAATGCTAAAAGAATCGTTACTTACCTCCGCAAAGCTATATTTAGGGAGGGCAAAGTAATAAAAGCACATCGCTGTCCAGTCCATTCCCGCACGACTGTGTAAGATAAATGGACGACGGCGAGGAGACGCGTTCTCACGGCCCGTGCCTGACTTCTTTTTGTTTTATCTGGTTTCCGAGTTAAAGTTCGACTAGCTTAGCTATAGTCTTAGCACACACTATTACAAAACAACCATCATCTTTAGAACGAAAAAACAATGAAGTATCGTAATAGATACTTTACTAAACGTAAAGTATCTATATTTTGCCTTGAACCTAGAATATGAAAATCCTTAATTTCGGATTTATCAGATGAGTTTAGGGTTAAGTATGGTTTGTTCAGTATTTGAAGAAGACGATTGACACAAGTAATATACACAAAGAGGACCCTGTGGTTAGCGGGTTCGATCTGCAATACGAAGGTTAAGGTAATTTCCCTAGAATGGGCAACCTGAGATTTATTAGCTTGAGCTCTTTGTGTTTCGAAGACATGCTAAATCAAGACTAGATCCAAGTGGTGAGTTGTGACCCATTCTCCCTAATCGATTTCATCCATGGGAAAAGCTTATGTCTCAGAAGTTGGAATATAGGCTGATGATGATTACGATGAATATATATTAGCCAAATAGCATAATAAAATTATATAAACCATTAACACAATTGGATGAAATAAAAACGTTATAAATTAAAAAACGCAAACGTAGAAAAGCTATTTATAAAACCTCAGACAGGTAGAAGTGTGCCTATGTTTTCCCGATCCTTTCTATTCACCGATAAATTGCCAGGTCATAGTTACTAAACGTGTCGTGGAGAGGCCGTACGATGCGGTTCGGGTGTGTAAACTGGTTGTGGGCTCTCGCGTTAATTAGACACGGCTCTCGCACCGAGCAACACCTCTCCTCATTATTTACCGCTTCATTAAGAGCTCACTCGCGACGAGCGCCTGTCAAAATCTCACCGAACGCCCGTCCGACGCTTGAAATATCGCAGTATTGTCCTACAATAACACCGTCGTCGGCTACGTTAATTGTCTTAGTCGTCTCCTTTTCGGAACTCCTTTGTTCGGAATCTCGGCTTTTGCGCTCGTAAAATAGACCGCTCACTTCCGTTCCGAAACTGAAAAACTCGCGCTGTTGCACAACATTTTCATTGCTTTACCACAAAATTTCCTTTAACAAAAACTTAATGATCATGCTACAGTCATTTCGTTTACGTGCGGAAATGATACGCTATGACCAGTAATAGCACGTACGAGATTACAAACAATAAAATCGTACCAAATGATAATAGACTTAAAAAAACAATTTAAGATACAGTTACGGAGATCAAAAAGTAAAGTAATAATCAGCGTCTACCACATTATATCTATTATAGCAAATTGATTTCACTATAAGACTTTTAATATCGACGTGAGATATTAGAAACTCTTAAATAATTTTATAAAAATATTTTTAAACAAATTCATCGATATTTTAAATAGACACATTTGATAGCAACAGAAATCCGACCGGCATGGAGCGGAGGTACTCTAAAGCAATTTAAAGTGAAGTCTGCGTGGCCCGGCATTGTGATTTCTGTACACGTTTTAATGAATTCGTCCTTCCTTCGAACGTTTCTCGGCCGCTATTCAAAGAAAATTACAGCGGAGAGCCTCCTCGAAACAAACCCTTTAGGAGTCACGCTCCGTTCTCGCTAAACTTGGTCCAATTATTTCGATTCTCTTTTTTTCGCGTATTCTTTATACTGGAGGTCATTATGGCGTCAGTTGGAGAGCGATTCTCCGATACGCCATATGTTCCCAGCGCGCCTTTAAATTTAGTCGTGACAGTGAAGTTGGGATAATTGATTAATGGGCTCTCGGGCGGACGTGTTTAAACGCCACGATTGCCTTTTTTTGTTAAAATCCCTGTAATGATACATTTTGATTGTCTCAAAAGAACATATTGTTAAAATCACCATATGGTGCGGCACAGATTCGCCTCGCAACAGTTGGGAAGGCCGTTAACTTCGGCAGGTACCTACTCGAGCATTATTCTAATCTGTTCTTTATTCACAGAAACATCCATGTAACATTTATGAGGCTGCAATTTGAGGTAACTCTATCTCTAACACATGTAAATGAGAACTTCCCCAGCATCGTTACGAATAACTTTACTTCGAGCAAAAGGCAGTTAAATCTCTCGTGGAAATATTTTAGTTCACCAAAGATATTTGGCGAGAAACTTCGTTCACAATTCCATGTACAATTTACACACCGTACGAATGACTAAACGTTTTACACCAGGTACATCCTTAAGTTTTAATAGTTATAGTTACCTTTAAATGTTTAAAGTTCATAAAACATAGCCGGCTGTCGTGACTCTGCTAATTAAAAAACTTTTGATATATTTCTTATTTTCTTTTTGTTGGGGAGTTTGCTGCGCCGAAAAAATAAAATTCGTTTTTCAAAGTTTATGCCCAATACTACCTGGATTGCCTTCGAGATACTATCATCAACTCTATCAATAAACATTCAATTGATTTTAAAAGTTCTGTTATTTTTAAACACTTTTATGTAGAATCACTATTCTGATACATATCGTCAGTAATCAAAAAACTTTTCAACTACTTCAAAAAAGAGAAAAGCCTCTTTTTTCTATTTTATAGAAAAGAAAAGTATTAGTGCTAGCATAATTATAAAAACGTAACTTTCATTAGAAATGAAATTTAAAAACATATCTCTTTTTGTTCACAGATTGGGTGGCGCGGCCATGTCGTCTGGCATGGGCGGTGGCACGCTTGGCAGCGGCCACTGTCAGTTGGCCAATCAGCCCCTAGTAATGCCAGTGTTTCCGCTGCGTGCCAGCCAGCCTAGCCCCGTGCCTGTCTATTCCCCATCGCGTTTTCACATAGACAAGAGGTGTCAACACCGGTGCACATGGAAATGTCTGGCAATTGCCATGATCTGCCTATGTGTCATATTAGCGGCCATGCTCGCCTATTTTATTGGTAAGCCTTTTATGAGTTCATACTTTTCTTACTGAAAAGGCAAAAATATAAAGAATATTTTCATTCATATAAATAGAATTTATAAAACTAATAAAAGCACACACATCAATTTGATCTGAGCAGATTTTGAAATGAGTGAAATTAACTTAGCCGGTACTTCTTTTTTATTATGCTCAATGGGTATTAATGTTTTAAAATTATTCAATCACTACTGTTTAAAAAAATCATATATATTTGATCACTTTGGCATTCACAATGCTATTGAAATTAATAAGAAAATGTTAAACATTCAGGCCCGTATAACTACGCATAAATAAGTTAGCTGATGTCTTAATTGGATTGGACCGCAAAATTAAGCCTGAATCTAATCATGTGAATGAAAACTTCACAAATTAATTAAATTATCTAGTACTTATAAAAAACAGCATTCCTTATCAGTTACCTAATTTTATAGTGCTCTGGTTTATCTGATCTAATAAATCAAAGAGGAATTGACTACGTACCTTACACCATAAATTTTTTCTGAGACCGTCCGAAAGGAGCTATTAAATTAGAAAACTGAACCTTAACTGATCTTAAAAATACACCAATAAGTTAGAAGATAAAACACGCCACTAAACGTAAACATAACATTACGCAGTTAGGGTCATGAAGATTTTACAAAATATCCCTTTCATTCGTAAGACTTAAATTGTTAATTCGTATATATTACCTACTAATATATCTAATGAATCAATGTCATATCTAAAAAGTAACTTTTGCAATTAGTTCCATCAATAGGACGTCTGTATATCAGGTCACATATTTGTGCCTTATTCTTTTAAATCAAAAACTTAACATAAAATTTGAATTTTCTACATATAATTTTAATAATGTAATAGAATTCGATGGTATCAAAAATCAAGATAATCATAAATTATTTATGATTTTAAATATTTTACAATAAATTTATATATTTATCAACACATAAAGTTTCAAAATGTCGTATATAACTCACAATCAAAACCATTCATTTGACTCGTCCTCGGTGTAAGGTTTCCAGAAAAAGCAACCATAATAAAGACAAAACTATAGACAATCGATTAAGTATTGAAAGTTTTTTAAGTACAAGTTATGCTGTCGATATATCTTTGTTCATAAAAACGCAGCGGGGCGTTCAGAGATCTCGCTTATGCTGTATTTTTATTAACTCAACCGGAATGCCCGATTAAAATATTCATAACATTATTCTTTCTCTATCCATTAGTGGTCGATCGGCTTGAAACAAAGTGGCCTATGTATTCATAGTAATTCTTAAATAGCACGATTAACATGGTTAACATTTGTATATAATAATATTTCCTTCCTACAAGTGACGTACAATTTACTAAAAAAAGTAATATTGTCACCACTCACGCTTTCAAATCGGTTTAAAAATTAACTCACGATGAAAAAATTTTAAAAAAAATATGCATTGAAGTGCCTCTTAAAAAATCAGCGATGCCCAAGGCAACAGTCTCTCCAATTAAAGAGCAGTCTTGTCTGGTATGATTGGATGCCTGCGAAACAGTCGGGCTTCAAGGTAAAACTAGCCCGAAGCTACAATTTAACATGAATCGGTAGCAACAAGCAGCAAATTCCAAACCATAGACGCGGGCCATTCCACTATTTACAATTTATTAATCACCACCATCGAATAACAGTTATTCCACAAAAATGATCATTCGAACGACTGTCGTAAAATTTTATTTTTATACATTCACAATTTTACAAGCGAATCATAATGCATATTATTATTTCCATCATCACATCCAAACTCAATTATCGAAGGTGATAAATTTGAATATCCACTCCGGCATGCAAATGAGTTGATTACACATGGATGTTGCAACGGAAACAGACATCAACCATTAGTCTTTCATCGTTCTTTGTTTAAATCACGCGAGCGGCGTCCACAGAGAGGGCCATAAAAAAAAACTAAACAAACATCGGAAAATATAAATGATGCGCCTAACCTAAGGCAGCGCGGTGCGTACCCGTGCTTGCCCGTTATAAATTATCTTACACTTCCACGTCCCGTATTATTTCACTGCGGATATATCAAACTCGCACAATCCCGCCCTGCCCGCTGAACGACCGATCGTAATTTACACATTCCTAATGCTTCATAAATTGCAAAGTAAATCCTACCTTGCGATATAAAGGGAAATAGCTAATCCTTTCTGCAGACGTGTATGATAATATAAAACCACATTTTGTTTCCGACTGTACGCCGTGTTCTCATAACTGCAAGGAATAGTTGTGAGTGCTTTAAACAAGTATGTACCAAAAGCATTTCCCGGCAACTGCGGAAATGCATAGGATGACGGTAACAAAGTGACAGCTAAAGCGCTTGCTTTGTTGTTATCGCGTAAATATAGTAAATAACGACAAAACATAAATGTTCAAGTTTCTTGTGAAGCTTACTATATAGTTTTATTTTTAAATAATACTTACGTGGAGTGAAAATTCGAGTTAGTCTTTTGTTTATAGCTGCCGAGCTATTCTAGAGCCTCTTAAAATCTACCACAAGTCAACGCTGAGTGATGACACTTCGGACCGCAGACTAGTATACGAGCGTCTCACGAAAATAGCAAGAAAGTCAACAGAGGCCTTTAGTTTGATACTTCTGGCCTACATCATGGCGACGTTTACACTGGAAACGTTTTAGTAAAAATGGAGTGAAGTGAATTAATTGGAAAATCGTGGTTTTTGGACTAGTTTTCTTTCAACTGATGTCATGTGAAGTTAGATCGAATAAACAAGCACTTTGAAACAATAGGCTTCCTGAAGAAGATTTTTTAATTAACCGTTAAATTAATTACTTTTACAGAAGTCATCGAATCTATTAAAAACCTGTTTTCTCTAAAGTGAGAAGCATTTAAATAATGCAATTTTTGAAATATCAACAATATATACTAAAAAACTACAAAATTTTAAATAAACACAATTTAGGTAAAAGGATCACTCAAACTTGTACATTCCGTTCAAAAATATGTCCGTATTCATTTCATAGTTAATGTATTTTACCCGATTTTATACACCACCGGCATGACGCATGATTACTCACTTGTAATGTTATGTGACATTTAGACACAACACATTTACAATTTATCACTGTCTACACAATAACTTCTAACTAAAAAAACATTTTCAGATTTAAATCAAAACAATGAATTATGCATTGAATGAAAAATGTTTCAGTAAGCTCCTATATTATACTTAGTCTGGAATAAAACTGTCTGATAATAATCACACAGTTTATTAACACCGTGCTCGTTTAATTTAACTTAACCCCTAGCTTTCTTAAATATTTTCAACTATCGCATCGTTAGGTTAAGTAATGCACCTCTAGCATGACATCATGTGAAAACATAACAACTTAACTTTCGGCAGTTCATAATCAATGGAAAAGAAACTTGTTTTTGATTAGTGTTTATTACAACTAATACTTAATTAAATATTACAAATGGCTACCGGTCGGCCCATACCCTATCAAGGCGTAGGTGTAGCGTCTAGTTGAAAATAAATTTCTTATATTTCAACGCGTTTTAAAGTAATATAACGAACCAGCTCAATGTAAGGTGTTTCGAGTCAATAACGTTTATCGTATCGGATCTCAGTTCATTTAGATTCCCGTTAAATTACAGGGACAGTAGATAAGCGGTGCGGTCCGGCGCATACAGATGCTGGCGGCTAGTGGCCACATCAAAATGTATAATATGTTTCTCTTAAAGCTATCGCTTCTAAATGACAGCATTAAGATTTCCGTATGATATAAAAAAATCAATCAATTATTTTAGACATCACTTATCAATTTAACCAACCACACAGATTAGGAAACAGTTTAGAAGAATTTAAGATTTCTAAAATTAGTAATTCGTTTTCCACAGAGTAAAACGTTTAAGTTTGTCCTGTAATTATTAGGTTTCAGAGCGACAACTAAAATATTTGTAAAACACGCCTCCTGGCGTTTTTTTTTGTACAGAGTTTATAGCTACGAAATGACAGTAGTAAGATTTCCGTAAGATATAGGACAGATAAACCGATTTTGGCTGCTGGCCTTTTTGGTCATTCCCAGTTTAAGATGTTCTCACTTACAAATGGACAAATATATAACTTTATTATATATGGTCTTTGAAATGTCAAATTATGACCAAAAGCTTATACATTTACCAGCTCCGATCTATAAAAGTTTACTTCTTCTTAACTTTTAAACTTTTAAAATGGTCCAAATTGAATAATCCGCCTTATTTTAAAAAAACGATCAATTTTATTAGACATCAAATTAATAGACCATATAAGAGAAAAGTGATTAGAAAACCAAATAAGAGAAAATGTTAAAAATAGTAATTTACCTTAGTTTTCCACATACAATGAGTAAATCATTTAAATTTCATCCTGTAATAATTAAGTTTCAGAAACAAAACATAATATTTGTTGGACACGCCTTCTGGCGTATCGGATGTGTACCATTTTATAGGGTATTTCGTATTTTAATCCGACATAAATCTCATGGTTTGTGCCGGTAGTTTTAATGTAGTAATGAAAAAATGTGGACCATCTGTTGCTCCCTTCATTACTTGCGTGGTACGCGATTGATGGGGGCAAAATATAGCGACTTTTTAATGTAATTGGAAATGTGAGGACCCCAAATGTTTTATTGAAACTCGCTGTGTTGAGCATTAACGCTTTTCAAAAGCTCCTGACAATACATTTAAGCTGGGTTGCACTTTGTTTACTAGTCACATGAGAATTGATACAAATTAAGGTAGATCCGTCACGGTCACGATATTTTACGACGCCAATAGAAAGCATTATCTTCAAATATTTTTTTGTTGTTTATTTTTTATAGTAATAGTGTCCTTGCTTAGTGAGTAATATTTCTATGAATTTCATTTATTTTAGTTTTCATAATAACTCCATTTGACTATTTTTTTATAAAAAATTTACGATGTTGTTATGAAGTGATATGGTATTGATTTATCTAATAGGTAGTCTTATGACTATTCCTTCTACATTTTTCTACATATATAAAAATGTTTAGATTACAATTTTAGAATAGTAATCGAATAATTGAAATATGTAGTTCACGTAATAAAAACTTACTAGCTATCATAAAGAAAATGTATCTATCAGATTAAAAATATATCCTTTTGATCTTGCAATGAGTAAATATTAAATGTACGTAAGATAATCTAAGCAATAACGTTCTAAAATTTAACGCATCTTTTTGTACTCTGAGAACAAGTTAAAGGAAACATTATTTTAAAACATTAATCATAAAATTATAGGTTAAAATAAACACAGTTCTGTTTTCCAATTTTTCAGTTTTATGAAATATTTAAAACATTTATCGTTGCATGTTAACTGTTAACTTGTACCCACAGCAGCTGAAACTTTACTAGCATTAATTAAAAAATATAGAAGAACTGCACTTCACACATCGTCACGTTATACTTGTCCCCGCAAGCCGTACTTCTTATAAAATAGGGCAAACAAGAGCGTGTTTCTACGCGAATGTAGATCATATGAACAGGCAACAAGGACGGCTATATGGGATCACGTAAATAATAGAAGGAGATGGAGGACATACTGGCATCGGGAAGATTTATCACGTGACTAATACCGAGTCAGTGCGACGGCGTCATGAGATCCCCAGGGACTCTATCAAACGAGTTTTTGCTCCCCCATCGTACGATGCAATCTATGCTGAATCGTATTACAATAAATTGTATTAACTTGAAAAATAGTGGAGATAGCAAACATTGTCCATCTGCACAAGCGAATGTGCATTGAGATGGCATGTCGCCTGTCTTTGTCCGTCATTTTATTGCGAAACTTATATTTCCATTTCACAAAGGATGATCGGAAAATGGCGACATACCACATTGCTGTATTTCTTTTCTGTGGGCGGAAATTACGTCATTCAGTGCTCGTTTATCTACTAACAGTGACATTATTTATGATACAGCGTTTGTTATTTCTAAAATGATATTCGGGGAAGATATACACATTTTCGTGAGACAATTGATTACGATAAAAGCTTTCTATACTTAATAAATTTACATACAATTCTGGGAAGAAAGTTGACCGTGTCAAGACATTTATGTAAAATGCAAACTTTCAAAGAAACTCTTTAAAATAACTTCCTTGAACTCCATCTTCAATTTCTTCATATTTACGTTTCCCGTTCCTTTCTGAAGTTTTCCATTACACGGAGTATTAACTCGAGCAATATTATGTTTGATATGTATAAAATATAATCATTAAACAGAAATAGGAAAATCTTGAACCAATATTTTTTAAGTTTAAACAACTCAAATTGGGACAAACTTTTCTAAACACAATACGCTTAAATTCATATATTGCTTTAAGTGGATTTGAATATGTACATAGTTTGTAATCAGCAATGAATATAAATTACTTATTTGACTATTGCCGGTTGTCGCCTAATCCGATAATAGCAATTGTTGTTGATCTATCTCCCTCGTCCCAGCCATAGGAGTTAATGTAAATTGTCCAATTCTAACAGCCAAATGGCGTCAACGCATCGTGATCCTTATCTGGGAGTAAATCTTGGGGACAGACGATAGCCGAGATAACTTTATCGTTTTAACACCACCCCAGTCTGTCCACATAACTAGAATGGAAAGTAGTTCTGTAAATAAAATAATATCATATCTGTTATGGACAGATTAAAACAATTTATAAATGAATTTTAGATCATTTATTATCTACATGCCATTACTATTGGAAGGTGACAATTATAAGAGACAATAGAATAATATATCACAATAGAACATCGCAATCAGTTCTATCTACATTTATAATAAACCCATTCAGTAATTTAATATTTGGTATTAAACAAATATAAAGTATTACGGTAAATCAAAATTAATCCTTTCTGTTCAACTTATTCCATAAAAATTATTCAATTTATCTCGGAAATTGGTGTCTTTGCATACTATGGCAATTAGAATGATGGCAAATCGCTCACGTCAATTAGGCCCGTAACGACTGACATATGGGTTTTCACGCACGCGTAACTTATTGCGCGCACATCCTGCCGGTGCACGCGCTCTCGATAAATAAACACTGCATCCCCTCGACACTGCAAATCCAAACCTCCTCCGAGCTTCTTACAAAACTAATGAATCTGCTCCATAAATTCTCTTTACATTCGGATTTCGACGCAAGTCGGCGTGCCCATTTGAAGTTCTTTATCCGAACACTGAAATTGGAGCTTTTAGGAAAGCATGGAAAGGAGCTCAATCGTAAGACAGATTATAACTATTTTAGGCTGGTGTTATTTAACGCTCTACTTGATCCTTCATTACAAAAAGTAAATCGTGTCAAACTGAATAAAACTCGTGCTATTCAAGCCCGTGCTCGCTTAGTTAGTAGCGTGAAGAATTATCCAATTAAGATGCGTAGCGGCTTCTGATCGATTCCATCGATGGCAACTGTCGCATAATGAGGAGACAACGGCATTCCTGAAGACAAAAAATTATTGGGTGTCGCCGAACCACCTACGTGCCAAGCAGTAGCTACCAATGGTTTGCGGCAGCGGAACTAATCGCTCAGTCACACCGCCACAAAATGCGCTTCGCCCGTGCTTCGCTTAATTAAAACCCGACGGGTCGTCACGTCACCTACCCTATATTCATGGCACTGAAAGGCATCTCTTATTAAGTACGAGTACTATGCATTTCGAAATATGTGTCGCTCTAAACGTCATGCGTGTGAACTCAAATAGAATTAGTTTTCGACTACTGGGCATTCTCGATGTGGGCCATTGATAAGGCCAAACTTAACGGAAACTTAATTGAAAGTCCAGATTAAATGGAAGATTTAACGCTCACTACATCGTTTCACGGTAGATAGAAGAAAGATTAAAAATCGATCAACTTCAATGCAGCCATTAATTTTTATAATCTAAACGAAAACTTAACCTATCAATCTTATTTTTGTTGCAGCGTTATCGTCAATTAAAAGTAATATAGACAATTCAAATTGCATCCTGGTACAAGATGTAAAAGCAGTTACACACGCACAAGGTGTAAGAGATGCGTTATCAACGTCATCACCTTCCGACGGTATGTACATACTAGCTATACATTAAGTTGAAATAATGTTAATAAATAATAGATTGTTAATTTTATGTAATTGACATTATACATTTTACATTACACATATATTTGTTTTTAGAGTCAATATCAACTTCGTCACTCGGCGGGTGGTCAACAACAGCGGAAGCCGCAATAGAATCAGCTATAATACCACAGCAAGCACAACAAGCTGCGCCACCACCTTGGTCTCCAGCATTAGAAGTTAGAGAGTTTGACGAACTCCACAGTGCAACAATACCCGCTTACCAGTTTTGGAGTTCAGAATTCCGAAATAAACAACCAGCTTACGTTAGCCTTAACTTCACAGTACCCTGGGGAGCTAATTTTGCAGTTTATGGCAGACGTAATGTTGCTCCTAGTGTTACGCAATATGATTTTGTAGAATTTATCCGAGGTGGAAGAGTTGATCACAGATTAAGAAGAAGAAGAAGAAGTCCACACAGACACGAAGCATTTGGACTTAATCTTGATGACTGGGATTCTTTATTGAGTACAATTAGCCCATTACAAAGGTGGAACCACACGATAAGCAAGAGATCTACAGATATGAGAGTTAATGTCAGCATTTTGCAGTATCTTGACACTGGAAGGTGGTTTATTTCTGTATACAATGATGAACTCCAACCACATAACGTCGAAATGATTGTATCTGAAGCCGAAGGTGTGACTAATTCGTGTCCCGACGACTGCTCTGGTCATGGATCGTGCTATCTCGGAAAATGTGAATGCATGGACGGTTATGAGGGACACGATTGTTCCAAAAGTAAGTTTAAAAAACGTTATATTTATATATATATTACGTTATATTTATATATGATTTCTCATTACCTGTATTTTTTTAGGCGTATGTCCCGTTCTATGTTCTGGTCATGGAGCATATGCAGGTGGCATTTGTCATTGCTCTGAAGGTTGGAAAGGAGCTGAATGTGATATACCAGCACATGATTGTGAACCTGCGGATTGCTCTGGCAGAGGACAGTGTGTCGCTGGCCACTGTCATTGCAAAGCGGGATGGAAAGGACAGAAATGTGATGAAGGTAAATTTATCAAAATAATTAAAAAAGACATGCCGAGTAGTACCGTCGAAAATACAGTCATAAGTATTCACGAGATTTCATTTAATTCAACTTTTGTAAGCAATTTGTCGAAATTAAATCCAAAATTTTATTATTTAAATGAAATCATACTCGACATATTTGCTAAATTAAATAAGAATCCGTTATGATACACTTAAGTTACGAGTAGTATCGATTAGCAACAGTCACTGTACCCAATGTTTTTCCTAATCTAGAGGACTGTCTGGATCCAACTTGCGGCGGGCATGGTTCATGCGTGCGCGGGCGCTGTGTTTGTCGCGCCGGATGGCGTGGCGCTGCATGCAGCGAACGCGATGCACGCGTTCAACGATGTCTACCTGCATGTTCGCAACGGGGAGTTTACGATTTAGATGCTGGAAGATGTGTTTGTGATCCGCTTTATACCGGCGATGATTGTTCGCAAGGTATATCCAGCAAAACCCTTCTTATAAGTAAATAAATCAGAACAAGACGATTGAATCTGAATTGTGATACAAAAACTAAACACTCTTTTAATAAAAAGTTTCTAAGTAAACTTTTAATATTTTTGGAGACCAACAGATTAATATCTTTCATTCTTTTCTAGACCTCTGTACCTCATAAAGTAGCTCTTGTTGATGTTTGTAGTATTTCTAGCCAATTCTTCTCAGTACAAGGTCCCACCGTAGATTACTAAAACTTACCAATAACGTAATTTTTCATATTTGACAATACTTCGTAACAACCTTGACTTAATAAATGATTTGACTTAATAAAATTTCCAATTGCAATTGGAAATTTTGAATTTACAGTGTTGTTATTACAACCACAATGTTTGTAATCAATTTATTTCTGCATCTTCCTATAAATATACATATGTGAAGGTGATAATTTTTTTATTCATATCGCTACATTTTTTATAGTGGTCTGCTCTTTGGACTGTGGTCCGCATGGAGTGTGCGCTGAGGGAGTGTGCCGGTGTGACGAAGGTTGGACAGGCTCTATGTGCGACCAGCGGCCATGTGACGTACGATGTCACGACCATGGCCAATGCAAAAATGGTACATGCGTCTGTACACAAGGATGGAATGGGAAACACTGTACACTTCGTGAGTTTCGCATCATTATTCATTTACAGATTTTAAGTAATACTCATTTGTTATAATAGTTATTTTTTTCCTGATTTCAATGATCACTACAGTTTTAAAATTTCATTAGTGTTATTACTTTTCAACTCAAGCCACTTCTTTGTTGACTAAATTGAAGCGTTCATTAGTTTTTCTATAATTCAATATAATTTACTCTTTATTATAAGTCTATTATTTAGATGTGTTAGGAATGACATAGCTAGTTAGGATAACCGATTTAATAAAAACGACAACCTGCGTAAATCTTTAATTAAAACGACAATGTTAGACAAACCTCGATAGCGTAGTGGTTAGCGCGTTTGGTTTGTGATACAGTTGTTAAACAACTTTAGCAAGGCAGGTTAAAGGATGAGTGACAAAACATTTTCAAAATCGAGGCATTAACACCCATCAATCCGCACTCGGCCCGCGTGTTAGGTCATAGACCATTCTCCCGATTCGATTTGAATCGATTCTATCCACGTGGAAGGCCTGAGCCCCAGCAGCAGAAATATTAATACATTCGTAAAAAATAGTAAATCTACACTCTACGTATTTGTTTCAAATAATGTTTGACTAAAATTCTTTTTAATCTTTCTGTAGCAAAATTGTTAATGCCCTCATAGCTTAAAGCAATCTAATTTTCGATATTTTGTATTTCTATTTGTTTCCCATAAATTTAATCTTATTTTACATTTCATACATTCTATGATGTATCAAGAAACAAATGTTTAAAGCATATTTTATTTTCTCGGTCTTGGTACTTTTTGAAAGTTGCTCAATTATTTTGGTGTACATACAGCCGGTTGTCCAAACGGTTGCTCAAGACATGGTCAGTGCCTGCTAGAAGATGGAGTCTATCGCTGTTCGTGTTCTGAAGGTTGGGCTGGCACTGATTGTTCTATAGCTCTTGAACTGTCCTGCAACGATAACGAAGACAACGATGAAGGTAAGACTAATTATAATTTTCAGATGCAATACGCTTAAATGGATAAAACCACATGACTCGATTCAAATATAGTCATAATAATAACATTCATTCAATAATATGCCTATGATAATGATTGATATAGTACGCCATTACGTTGATCATTAAAAAAGATACCTTCGAAATATCGATTATCTTAAATGAAAAATTACATACGGTAATAGTCTTCTGACAAAACGCGTACCATTTTGAAGATGGCATGACGGACTGCTCGGACTCGGAATGCTGTAGTCGACCCGAATGCGCCGAGCACATCATGTGTCTCTCCTCCAACGACCCTGTGGAAGTGCTCCTCCGCAAACAACCACCTTCTGTCACCGCCTCATTCTACCAACGAGTCAAGTTCCTCATAGAAGAGAACTCTGTACAAAGTTACGCTCACATGGACGAGTATTCAGAGAGGTGAGTACACTATTAAAACCTCGATTTCCAAGTTTTACGAACACCAAATCACTTCATAGTAAAAGATATCATCTTTCCAATTTTATTAACTGATCGGATGATAGATTTTACAGCAAATCGTTTAGGACTGACCTATCGGTTTTGCACATTCCATAATATAATATGTAATTGCACTTTACAATGATTTTAGATACGTGATATCATCGCCGTACTCTCTTTATCCGTAAGAAGAAGAAACAATATCATAGTATCAAAGTAATATTTAGGAGCTAGCACCTTTACCATTTACAATCCCGCTCATCTTCCTGTACCTCTCCGAGGATTTGGTGTGGTTATTTTTAATTTAACTGGTAATAATACTTTTTACAACTTACGATTTTTTTTATCATCTGGTGGAAGTATTTTGATTTTCCTCTGTTTTCTCTCGCGTGTAAAATCGATTTATCTTTTGCGATCCTAGCATGGGTATGTTTTAACATTCACCATGATTTACATATTATTAGTTTTGGTATTCTTTATTTTTTATTTTTCACACCAGATCCGATGTGTTGTGTATTGTCTAATGTTAATCCTTTGTGTGTGTCTAACCCTACCTGTTTGTCTAAACAAAAATGCGTCTGTTTAACAAAGTAATGAAATATATAACTAAATTATATAGAATCGAATAAGCGCTCAAAAGCTTCCGAACAGTTTTGTTTGTCTTCAATAGTTACAAGTCAATGCTATCTAAATAAGGTTTACAAATGTGCTCACATCATGAGAGATTATTGTTAAATTCTTATAGTTACCTTCAATATTAAAAACATTCAATTCAATGAATATGAGTTCGTTAATTTTAATGGTTGTTATTAAATCCTTCATGATCTGAGTTCGAATATTAACGGTAAACAATTTTTAGCTGTTTAAATTATCATAAAAGCGTACAAAATTGTCGAATACGATCTCCTGATTTGAATAATGAGACAAAGCAAAACTGAATAACAAAGTAGTCAACCCACCTCGCTTAATATGCAAAAGCGCCTCAAAAGTTTGTTTGCATTAAAACACGAGCCGCTTCACTATTTTGTTTAAGTTCAAAAGTCTAGAGTGGTTATATTGCGTTCTAGCATTTATCTCATGACCTCGGACGAACGTGCCACTGACGGAGTTCCTCCGTAGATATATCTTACATCTCCTTATTGATATATCTTATTGCAACCAGCATTTTACGAGTATTAAGATTTCCACAATTACCAAATTTGTTTAAAGTCTTTTAAGTGGTGGTGTTGTTCTAATGCAAACGGGCTTCGTCTGAATACCAGTGCGCGTAAATAGTCCAATATTAAGTGTTGAAACGCAAGGTAACCAGTATAGACGTGTGCAATTGACCGGGGCGGTTGCAAAGCCGGGGTGTGGTTGCACTGAGGGATGTAGGTATCTGTGTAGTAATCTGTCCTGTCTTTCTGTGTCCCTGTGCCGCCGTGTGTCCGCCACTCCTAGCGAGTTCTGGAATTCCTTTACACCATGGTAAGTGTCAGTCAGCCCGCCCTCGCCCCTCATTGTTCAGTATATGTTACCCACTTCCATTTTGTTGCGACTCCTGCATATGTGTGTGATGCCGGGGCCCATCGCATGTCCATCTACTAACACGCGAGCGGAGCCACTAAAGCTTTTTCACTTTTTGTTAACTCCTTTGTATTGGTTTCATTCTCTATGTGTATGTAACATCTGTATGTTTGTCTTGAATGTTCTTGTGTGGTTGCGACAAAGTCTCGATGTAACATCATAAGTCGGTCACTTGACGTTCGGCTCGCGAACGCCCATCTCTATTCGGTAACGATTTGCCGCAGCCACAATCGTATTTTTGTAATATTTATTTGTCTCGTCTACTGTGCTTATATTGTAGTTCACTTGTACTATGGTATACTCCTTGTTATACTATAAAAACCTAGGAAAATCATTTACGCTTTCACGCAAAACGTCTTAAAACACAATCGGTTAAACTTAGGTATGTAAAATATACGAATCGAGACGCGAATTGTATGTTGTCAATTGAGCAAAATTTCAGCGAACACGCAAATTTAGCTTCAAATAAACTTACCCTTTTATGTGCTCCTTACCCTTTGTCTGCGTCTTTCATCTGTTAACCAACCCCCTACCCTTCGCCCGAGCTCTTTATGTGTTTAGATCCTCACCCCTGTAACTAACCAAAACACTACTTATTTGAATGTAATCCGACTATTTCACAACGAAATAATAGCAGTCTTGTCAACATTGTACATTACAGACATTGCTTTCATCAATCAGCCATTGAAGACATTCGACACACTCAAATTGGTGCAACGAAAATATCCATACGTATAATCAATAGTTACAGCCTAATCATAATGAAATTAAAGTGTATGTTTTTTAAAATATCAGAAATTAAAAAATAAGAAAAAGTCTGTGAACATATTCTACAAACGAAATATCCTCCGAACTGTATCTATTGGAATTGAATGTATATATCTTAACTATAAATCACATGTTTGTATACAGAAACACTATTCACTTGAATAGCGTAATCCTTAGATATGAATAATTCGCTTGGGTGGTTTTGAATCGGTGGAATTCCGTTAAAGGGTTCTCAAATAGAACACGATTGATATATACTTAAGAAATACTGACGTCATTCAACTTTGATCTGAACATCATAATTTAGTATGTAAACCTGTAATAAATACCCACACTAGTTATACACTAAACTATTAAACACTCGTTACGGTTATTTACATGGTTATATTAAAGTTTCCATTATTTTCATAATAATATATTGTTTGTTTCGTATTCAGAATAATTAATTATGTAAATAACCTGTGTTTTTTGCAGCTGATGTAAGTATACTCGTATTAATTTGCATGCTGATTAAATACGTGAATTTATTAACGTGACAACCCCAAAGCACCTGTTACTTCAATATATCGTGTTCAGAATGAATATATACAAACTTATTTTTCGACATCCTCAAACGTAAATTAGTTCTGGACAAAAGTTAAAAGTTAGTCTGTGTAAAGCATTTTTATTCGCACATTTTGTTTTGTTTAATCTAAAGATGTTTTTGTTGCACCAATTTTTGAACTTCCTTAAGGGTGTGATACCAATGAAAAGACATTACTATAATGATTCATAAAGTATAAACATATGGTTTGTGTGGGAGCTGTTACATGCATTATTGATACATATACTCGTCTAAGTAAATTTTGGTTTATAGTTACTTCTAATACGCTCAATAAATAAGAATCAAAAGGGTAAGAATCAAAGTATTCTATAGACACTTTATGAATTGATAATGAGAAAAGAATATAAATATATAGACCAAAATTCTACTAGACCGTTTAGCTGAATCCTAATATGAGAATGTGTAATGCTAAAAACTTATTTTTGTTTTCTGTCATTAATTTAAAACTTTACTTTCACTATTATTAAGAAATATAGCACGTGTCAGTTTATGATAGAGAGAGATTAAAGGTGAAACCGTTCATTTATGAGTACGTTACAACTAAAACACTTACACAACTTGATATACAATATACCTACTATTTTTTTTTTTTGTTTTGAATTTAGTAATTTCTGATATATGAAATGAAAGTGCTTACGCTCAGTTATTGAACATATAAGATATTATTACGGGTAATTTCGCATCTAAATATCATTTCTTCTTAACTAGTCTTTCTTGCCCGGTGTTCCTTAAACAATTATTATCCTCAGGAATCATTCTAAGCCATAATAATTCAGTGACAATTAGTAGAAGAGTATTTAACCAGGAAAATTTATTGTGAATTTTTCACATAAAATTTTGTGACCTTATAGCGCCGACTGTCGTTATGACTACCTAGAATAACCCTTATACATATAATTTAAGGTGGTTCATGGCAATATATCTATATCATACGATCCCTAATGACTAAATGGCTAAAAGCCACTGTTAAAAACCAAATAAATATACTATAAATTCTTCTGTAATCTTAAAACAACATATTATAAACTATAAATCATTACGAAACTGTTTTCATAAAGTGCCAAAGAATAGTTTGCATTAATTATAAACTATATGGAATACAAACTTTCTAATTGTTAACCACAAATATCGAGTTGGGCTTATATGAAATAAAAACTGTTAAGTTTAATTTAAAAGTTCCGTTATAGCAATCATGATAGGTTAAACTTAATCGGTACAAGAATGAAACTACTTATTGGTTAATAGAGGATACAAAAAACATTAAACACGAGTCAATCTAATCTGATGATACCTAGCAACACCGTATAAGTATTGTTTAGGAAATTGCCAGTTGCTAAAATTAAATAATGATTATGTAGATATTTCAACGAAATAAATAATAACAGACATCAAACAGCTATTAAAAAAACTACCAGCTTTCTTGATTATGAAATGTGTGATAATGATCTGGAAAAAATAAAACATAGAAAGTGTCAAATTCCTGCAAGTCGTAAAAGGGAATCGAAAAAGTTTTTATATCACCTCTCTTAATTAATGATATAGAAGAAGTTGTCAAATAAATATGTGAATTAATTTATTAATTATAAATTGATATAGAAACTCTTTGCTAGTCCTAACATATGGAAAGATATGGAATGTCTTAAAGCTCAATACATTAAAAAATCACATCACAAATAATTATTCTACAAACGAGTTATTTTTAAACTCACAAAAACCTGTTTGTAATGGAGTTTATAATATCTACTTGAATACGAGATGCATTTCTTGAAATGGATGTAAATTATTTATAATACCTAATAAACACTGATGAAGTAATTAATATACTCGTATAATCATAAAAATATTTTTTTTCTTTTAATATCGTGGTTAAGGTATGGTTGTTCTTACTCCAAGATAATCTAATAAATACAGTTTGTTAATGATTACAAAAAAAACAACTAAAAATTATAGACATTAGATATTACAGCACAGCTGATTTTATAATTGAATCGTGTCTCTATTGTGAATACGAAGAACACTAACCGTTCACAAACATCTTAACTCGAAATAATTCAAAATATAATAGGACTAATAGAAAATTGAAAGAATACTCTGTTAAAAAGACGCCGTCGCATACAGCACTGCCGCAGCATTAGAAGTTTAGTCATATAAAACCGACTTCAAAAGATAAGGTTTTGCAGCTAATACGGCGACAGCGCTATGTTTGACGCTGTTTTCAGCGCTGTATTTTCATTAGAATATCAAAGCAGATCAAAACTGATTTAGGTGAAACGAAAATCAAAACTATCTATATTTCTGTTCTGTGTACAAAGTTATTAGGAAAGCTACTGATAGATAGTTCTGATATATGTATTATAATATATCAAAACTATCTATCTTTCTGTTCGGTCACGCAGCTTTAATTGACCTGAAAAATGGTACGAAGAATTAAAAAGCTGTACACTAGATTGAACTAGAGGGATAGGATAGAATCAAGTTTATAGAGAAAACAGAAAACTTGAATAGAAAGTAGAGAGGTAACTTAACATCACTTTTTTCTAATATTTTTATTAAGTACTAGTTGTTGTCCCTTGACTTCACTCTCATAAATTATGGTTTATATCACCCGCATACGATTTAGTTTTCTGTAGGTGAAAGAATTTTCGTGATCGGATCAGTATTTCCGAAAGCTACTCCCTACAAAGAAACAAAGTTATAAACTAAACCTCTATATAATATAATATAAAGTTTTATTTAGAAAAAAATAAATAAAACTTTATATTCAAGAAAAGAAGTAAAAGTTAACAATAAACTACAATTGTCAAGGTTCGTATTTGTTAATGTGTCATTAGCAGAAATTAGTGATCAATTATAGGTACCCATAAATTAAATGGGTCTCAAATATTCATGTACACATTTATAATTAAAAATGTGACGTTGGTAGAGCAAATAATAAAGAGCTGCCATTAAAATAAAAGAAGAAAGATTGGATTGGATTGGTGTTATTTATATGATAGCTTACTAATAAGTTTGTTGTGGTTATGCTCAGTGGTATACGAGTACGCTGTCCTTTTGTTATTACTACTAAAATATAGCTATAAAATAAATTTCTTGTTTCAAACTTTTTAGAGCGTGATTTAGCTGTACTCGGGTTTAGTTATTGAATTTATTTTTATTACAGATATACATTTCATATTCAGAC